AAGATATCATCATATATTTTAATACAAAGAACCAGTAATCCTAAAATGCACATGACTTATAAAAGGATTGCTCATTTCAAGCAAAAAGGACTGTGCAATGCTGGCCATATACAGTTATATTTTTATTGTTCAACCTGCAAGCTGACCAAAGAAAATGGAACAGATTCCTCCATCAGCACTTATGAGCGTGAATGGAGGAATTCCCCACTGTTTTCCATTATATTCTGACAGTTGATTGGCTGTAAGCTCCAAAGGGCCGAAAATGTTTTTGCAGCTGGCTCCTTCGATCCTCTAATTGAGGGATCCCGGCCATTAGGGTGTCAACAGCTGTACCCACTTGTGCATATTTCGGCCAGTAAATCAAAAAGCGTCCGAACTTGGAATAGAGTACGGTCAGGTTAACACTTTCAAGTTTTACTTTATCTGAAAGTTTTTGACATTACGTCAGGTTACTTCATAGCAGAACAAATCAAACAAATGTCAATATGTCTCTGTTGCCTGTGTACTGTAAACCTGCTGCGTACATGGGCAATCTAAGCTGAGCAGATGATGAAGGAAAAACCACATCTCAAAATGATCAGTTTATTAGGCAGCTAAGATTATAGTAAACTTTTGCTTTGCCTGTAAATTTAAAAAGTGCATTTACTAGAGATGCACCGAAATTTCGGCCGCCGAAACATTTCATCCAAAAATGGTACTTTGGGCAAAATGCTAAAATTAGGAGGAGAGAAACTCTCAGGAGGCTGAGCGCGGTGGGGAGGTGGGATCGAGGTGGGGAGGAGAGCACTGTCAGCATTATCACAAGGGGCAGAGCTCGCTCGGCCTCTTGTGACAAGCAAATCGGGACGGAGAGCGGTGCGGGGATCAGACAGCTGTCACAGAAGAGCTAGCTGGCAGGGCGGGAGGAGAGCGCAGTCAGTGGTGTCACAAGAATCCAAGCTCTCCTTCCCACACCGCCCACTCAGCCTCCAGTGACAAGTCAGTCAGGATAGAGAGCATTTATCGCTGAGTGCTTGTAAATAACTGAGGACATAGTATGCTTACTGTGTCCCCAATTATGAATGAACAGGAAGTGCTCTACATATCTTCCTGTTCATTCATGATTGTGGCCATAGTAACTCATACTATCTCCACAGTTTATGAAAAGGAACACTCAGTATAGAGGCCTCCTTGTTCCTTCATAAGGGGCTGCAGAAAAAGATTTAGACCACTGTGTCCTCAATCTTTTTCCATTTCAAAAAGGGAAATAACAGGGGTCTGTTTAGAGCCCTGATATTGCCCCAGAGCCCTCGACAGTAAAGTAAAAAAAATAAGTAAAAATAATTTATTAAAAAAATTTTTTTTTTTTTAAAGTTGGGGAAAAAAAAAAGTTTCATCCCGACAAATGTTTTATTTTCGGTTTTGATCTACAAAATTCTATTTAGGCGCACCTTTAGTATTCACAGCCAAATTGGGATAATACCTTTTTTTTAAAGATTTGTTACGTGCTCCCATTCACACAGCATGAGCTAACATTGACTAGTCGCTGACGGCCACAATTCGCACGTTCAGACCCAGATTTTCGGCTGACAGTCCAGTCTTTAAACACTTTAACAACAGCGGCTCTTGAATATTTAAGGAATTCTGCTGTTTTGCTGATACTCGCTCCATGGCTCCGAGCGCCAACAATCATCCTACGTTCAAAGGCTGTTAAATCGCTTTGTTTACCCGTATCTTCAGAAAAAATCACTTCTACTGTCGTGGTAAACAACCTGCTTCCCTATTTATAATGGTCTGGCCCTCTAGCAACTTCAGCGCAAAATTATAGCTAATTATAGCTAATTTGCCTACAAACATCAGGTGGTCATAATAATCTGGCCACTCAGTGTATGTATGTATGTATGTATGTATGTATGTATGTATGTATGTATGTATGTATATTTGCTTCTTGCAGTTAAAGATGGTTTACTTGGGTTAGTGTTTCTTGGGGTTAGTTGCGTCTTTAGGGTTTTCTATTTGCTTTTCTTTCTTTGTATTGTTTGGAGGGGGCTATAAGGGGTTTGTTCATTATAATTTAAAGTAGATTTGAAAACTACCTGTCCTAATAAAGGGTATAAGAGCCTGGCTTCTCTATTGTATGCTAAATGATAGAAACACAATCCATACATTTCAGTCTTTCTATAAAAGGACAGATCATACAGAAAAAAAAAAACTGGAATCAGCCATTTTACCTGCTGCAACAAAACATTTAAAAAGGTAAGAAATATTTTCCATTATGTTGTGTGAATGGGGACACAACACACAGAGAGGGGTTTCCTCAAATGTGACTGCAAACCTGGAAATACACTTTAAGCTTGCCCCAATCCCCTTCTGCCCCATGAAGCTTACTATTGTTTTTTGAAGCCACCTACTACATGAAAGGTTCAACAGGGAAGCTTGGGTAGTGGGAACGGTGGGGTCTACCTCACCTTTTACAGTACAATGCCAAGATTTGCAATTAGGATTGGCTGCCTAGATCTCTGGATCTACTGACCATTTTGATCTGTAAATCTAAGGATAGTGCTTTTGCATTTTTTCACTGTATACTCAGTTTCAATTTTTTCCAGAATTTTGACAAGGTCTACTTTGAAGGAAACCTATACTGAGGAAGATGATAGCTGTTCTTATTAACTTCTTCATGTGAAAAATGCTTATCTCCTTGGCTCCCATACTAACACCATGCAATCATTACAATGACCTGGAAAATATGCACTCCGTTCTGATTTCATTTGTTGCATGCATATTCCAGGCAATGACTCAAAGTATGGAACCCAGAGACAGCCAAGTAACTAGCATGTGCAAAAGGAGCTCAGCAGTGGAAGTTTCTATATATCTCTTGATTAAAATGTGCTTAATAACATCATAACCAAATGAGATCTCATTTGGTTATGATGTAAGAGCTGTCCATCATTAAAATATCTGCACTTAGGAGGCTACCACAATATCTGACTACAACATTTTACTGCAAGCCATGCAGAGTGAATAGCCCATTCCCCTTTCTACAGAGAAAATGGAATGATTGAGACTAGGTTGCAGACATTAAAAAAAAAAAATCATAAAAATGCTCTGCAAGTGGTTAGGAACATATCTAATGGTTACGTGTAATCCTTTATACCATAATAAATAATATATTGCATTTCTCACACAACAATCTATGCATAGAACAAAAACCATGAAGAAATGTACATTTTGTTTAAAATGACTCTTCCATTCAAAAAACATTTTCTTATGGGAGAGATCACAAGCTATATTTCTATGGGTCCTGAAATAGGCTAACCAGAGGTTGCCTGCAGTACCTACATCATCTCTACAATAAAAACTTTATCAGGAGAAAAAAAAATTGCATGCTCAACGCGCCCACTCCCCAATCTTGTACTAGATAGGCACCTCTGATGCCTATATGGACCTTATTACCACCCCCTTGTGGCTCAGATTCCTGCTATTGTTCTGTAAGAAGTAACATAGTACTTCTAGGTACAGTATGTAGAAGCATGCACTGCTTCAAAATGCCTGGTGATTAGCTGCTCAGGACCCAGCACAGTCAGATAAGGGAGAGGGAGTGTGCCAGTGAATATGCATTTATCAAATAAAGTAGGCATTGTTGAACCCTGCCAGTGACTTTGCAGGGGGGGGTGATGAGCAGGAGAGCAGAGGTAAGTGCAGGAACCAAAGAATGCCCAGCTCAGCGTTGCAAAATAAAATGGTGGAGTCCCCTTCCCCCGCCAACATGTTTAAAGCAGACACCTAAGTGACAATTAAACTCCATCAGAACAATTAAAAGAAGAACGACTTGTTGTAAACAATGCTGTTCTGCTGTTCTGGGTTCTCACGGTGGCTGGTAATGTGGTCATATACATAAGTGCTTGGTGATATAAACTGAGCCGTTCATATCAGAGTTCAGGTTGTTTCGGAGTCAACATCAGTTCCCTAACCATTTTTAAATTGAGACCATGCGATTGGCCATGTAAGAGCTTAGCTAAAAATTTCCTGTAGGACATGTACATATCCCCTATTTGAAAGTAATTACAACAAGGTTCAAGCTAGCCAGCCTTGCACGAGTGTTGTATTTTCACTAAAGATTTCCTTTAACTCCTGTAAAGCACCTGAAGCATCTACATATACATCTATAAATACTGTATACTGATAGAATATTCGTCTTTTGTGCAATCTATGCTGCAATTTAGGTTTACTGGCTCATGGAAGAAAAAATAAAAAAATAAAGAAGAGTGAGGCTTTAAAAGAAGCTCAGCCAAGACAAGACTTGGACTGACCACAAAAAGAAGTTTGACATTTTGATTGAAATGATTACTGTTTGTACCAATGCTGACCAACTCAGAACAAAGACCTAACAGATCAACAAAGCTGTAGGCAGCAAAGGCTTTTGGGCTGAAGCAGCACAGCTCCCATCATATTTGATCATCCAGCTGAAGGTGTAACATATTCCGACACTATGTGGATACCCTCCTTGGCTGATGACCTTCTACTACAAAGAAGTGAATGTGATCTACGGAAATAGATGTTGTACAGAAACCAGTGAAGCATTTACCCAAAACACTGATAAAACTAGAGAAAAGAGTGCATGTTATGCATGAACATACTGAACGGTCAGACTTACAGACCTACATTACACCACTTGCTCACATCTTAAGATACTAAGGCATTTTATAGATCAGTAACTTAGAATAACCCTTATAACATACAGCAGAGGTTACATTATCTCACCTACACTGTGTTTCCTGGATGAAAAAAGGTAGCAATATCAAAATAAGAGGGGCTTACATTTCAGGAAACAGAGTATATATGAAATAGATACACATTAGTTACACACATACATACAAAGCAGAGAGCTCTCGTGTGTGCATACTCAGATACACCGACTGCAAGGCACACAGACTTATTAGTACTTGGATATACACACAATATTCTTCCACTTATCATTGCAGGAAAGGAGGTACAATAAGGTGAACTTGAAAATAGTCTTCTTGGTCCTCCATTTTTTTTTTATTATTCATTTATCTCTTTTTTTTTTTGGGTTATAGCATGGAGTATTGCATCCAAACAATTGTGTATTCCAGTCCACCGGTAACAAAGAAAAAAAAGTACAAGAAAGTATGAGGGAGACACTAGATATATGCAGTCTTTGTTATGCAAAATATTAGTGCAAATCACTACTTCCACTTGTTTCTCTTCATTAAGGCTTCACCTAGATGTGACAAGTAGTACCAACACATTGAAGATAACACCCGCACTTGTGCCATTAATTGCTCTCTTGGCTAAAGTAGTATCTAACAGGAGGCCCGGGTAAATCCTCATCTTCATTTGATTCTGGGGCAAAAGACACAGTCAGGTCGACGTATTTTTTAGCGGCTCCTGGTTTCACAAGCTTGTGCATTCTAGACAGGGAATAAAAGAAGAAAAAAGCTGAATTTATAGATAAAGGTGAATTCCAGGAAAACAGTTTATTCAGATGTCACCTGCAAGTGAAATATCATTTTGCCATAAGATGCGATAGCTCACCTCGAGATCCATTGAGGGAGATTTATCAAATCTGGAGCAGCTGTGCATGGCAACCAATCAGCCTCTATTTCATTTTCAAATCTTAACTGAACAAAATGAAGAGAGCAGCTGATTGGTTGCCATGGGCAACTGCTCCAGTTTTGGTAACTCTCCCCCATTGTATTGCAATAGTCTCAGTACAGCTTGCCAAGTAATAAAAGTGACAGTCTGTCCTTCTGTTTACAAGGGTGCTGAGGGAGGTGTGGATGCTTGGATGTCGCTTCAAAGACCCAAACTTCTACTGAGAAAATATGGCGGATGCCATTGCTGAACTGTCTTTATATAAATGCAATATGCCTGGCTTTTGTGCCGATCCAAACATCTGACCCAGGGCACATGAAGACCAAATGTTTTTGGTCTCTCCTCAGACTTCACTAGCTCTACAATTGTTCTAGGTCAAGGACTCGGGAAATATTGAAAGCACACCGACAGCCAAACAACTAGCATTTTCAGAGGAAGGTGAGCAATGACAGATAAACGATCTCTCCCAGGACTAGTTTAAGGCACTCCAATTTTGAAAACATTTTTTAAAGAGGCTGTCGATTTAAAATGTTAATGTGTCCATCCCCTTTCTGGCTGCTACGGATTCAAAAGAACAATTTAATTGTCTGCCTCGTGAGGCAATGGCTGGCCATGGTGAACAAAGACCATTAAAACTGAAATGGAATCTACTTCTATTTCTCCTTCCCTAGCTCTGCCCTCCCTCCTCAACATGCTAATAAAATGTTTTCAATAACATTTTTTTGGAATGGAACAGTTTTTGTTTTTATTGATAAAGTTACGCCTGCATCATCTCAATGGTTTCCTCCTTGCATTTGCTCTTCTGCTTGCCAACTTGGCATTGCATTCCAAAATCTTCTTAAGATCCTTGTCGAGCTTTAGCCTGGTGATCACTGGAGTGGATACTGACAGTGACATAGGCATGTTGGCTTCTCCCGCTGCACATGTTCAAAATAGAGGACATATTTTTTCCTGAACACCTGGACAACCTTGCCAATTTGCTGACCTTTGGTGTCCAAGAACAACCTGTACTTCATCATGCTTGCACATGGGCATAGAGCAGACATCGCACTTTTGTCTCAACTTCTTGGAGAAGGGAGAGGACAATCTTTCTACGAACATGTGAGGAGGCACTGAAGAGCCTCTTGTGGTTCTTGCTTCGGTCAGAGTTTAACAACTGGACTAAAATTTATGTTGCTGAGCCACACAGTCCACTATGGTTGTCGCAAAAGAGGAAAATGTTTCCATTGCATACTATATTTTATACCCATTGCCATAATCACTGGGTCTCTAATCCACCTGCAATGCATAGTAAAGCACAACATTGATGGGAGAGGTTGGCAGGGTGTTGTACATACAGTGGATATAAAAAATCTACACACCCCTGTAAAAATTCCAGGCTTTTGAGATGTAAAAACAAAAAAACAAAAACAAGATAAACCACTTCAGTATTTTCCCACCTATAATGTAACCTATTATGTGTGCAATTCAATTAAAAAGCAAGCTGAAATTGTGGGGAAAAACCAAAACAAATACATTATAAAAAAATATAGCTGCATAAGTATTCATATTCATCCCTTATAATTAGGCATGTGGCTGTGTTCAGATTAGCCAATCACATTCAAACTAATGTTAAATAGTAGTCAGTAGATGTCTGCCATCAATTAAAGTGACTCTGACTAAGCCCACATAAAGATCAGCTGTTCTAGTCAGATTTTTCTGACATACAGTATACACAGTTGCCTCTTCAGCAAAAGCCATGGTCTGGAAAAGAGCTTACAAAAGCATCAAAGGGATCTCATTGTGGAAGGTTTCAGTCAGGAGAAGAGCCAAGCAAATACCGGCGCCGCAGGTTACGAGAGGATAGCCAATTAGGACGTTTTTAGTGGAAACACAGATGGGGCAGCTCCCACCGGTCAAAATGACCTCCGATCTGGGAAATACAAAGAAAAACAGAGCGCCTCCATCGTGTAAAAGATCATTTATTCAAACGGCAACACAGCTGAAAATGTACTCACAAGAAGGGACGATCGATACAAGCATGTAAGATGATGCAAAGGGAATCACTGGCAGTGGGAGTCTCACAGAATGAAACCGGTCAAATATCCTCTGCCCCTGTGAGTTCGAACGGTCTACGCGTTTCAGGGGCACGCCCCCTTCATCAGAACCTGATTTGACCGGTTTCATTCTGTGAGACTCCCACTGCCAGTGATTCCCTTTGCATCATCTTACATGCTTGTATCGATCGTCCCTTCTTGTGAGTACATTTTCAGCTGTGTTGCCGTTTGAATAAATGATCTTTTACACGATGGAGGCGCTCTGTTTTTCTTTGTATTAGTCAGGAGAAGAGTTCAAAAATTATTCCAAGGCATTAGATATACAATAGAACACACTGAAGACGGTCATCAACAAGTGGAGAAAATATGGCACAACACTGTGACATTACTAAGAACTGGACGTTCCTCAAAATCTATGAAAAACTGGTCTGGGAGGCTGCCTTCAGCAACATTAAAGGAGATGCAGTAATTTCTGGCAAGTACTGATTGTGTACTACACGTGACAATAATCTCCCGTGTTCTTCATATCTCTGGGCTGTGGGGTAGGGTGGCAAGAGGAAAGCCTTTTCTTATCAAGAAAAACATCCAAGCCCGGCTACATTTTGCAAAAACCTACATCAAGTCTGACAAATGCATATGGAAAAATGTGTTATGGTCTGATGAGTCCAAGATTGAACTTTTTGGCCACAATTCCAAAAAGTCTGTTTGGTGCAAAAACAACACCGCACATCACCAAAAGAAGACCATATCCACAGTGAAGCTTGGTTGTGGCAGCAATGTGCCTTGGTTCTGTTTTTCTTCAGCTGGAACCAGGGTTTCAGTCAAGGTGGAGGGAGTTTTGAGCTGTTGCAAATGTCAGTCAATTCTGCCACAAAACCTTCAGGCCTAAACTAAAAAGCTGAAGATGAATTTCACCTTTCAGTGTGACAACAACCCAAAGCATACCTTAAAATCAACAAAAGAATGAGTTTCCCAGAAGAAGGTCAAAGTTTTGGAATAACCAAGCCAGAGCCCGAACCTGAATCCAGCTGAAAATCAGTGGGGTGACCTGAAGTGGGCTGTGTGCAGGGAATGCCCTTGCAATCTGACAGATTAACAGTGCTTCTGCAAGAAAGAGTGTCCTACCCCTAAGACTGAATGTTTTCATAAAATCAAAAAGGTGCTTGAACAAAGTAATGGTACTAAAGGGTGTGCAGATTTATCTAACCACGTTATTGTACGTTTTTTACGTTTATTGTTTTTCCCCTTTGAAAAATTCAGTTTGTTTTTAATTGAATTGCACAGATAGGTCACATTAAAAGTGGAAAAACATTCAGAAGTGATTTACCTTGGTCTGATATTTTTACATTTAAAAAAAACTGGCATTTTTAGAGGGGTGTGTAGACTTTAATATCCAACGTAGCTTCCTGAAAACATCACAGCATTCTGCCTCAGTACTCCTCAAGATCCCTCAGCCTTGATGCAAGCAGTGGGCTGGCTCTTGAGCCCCACAAAAATGGGACAGAACTGGGGACAGCTTGCAGCTCAATAGAGCCATCTGAAGGACCTTATGCCTGAAGCTGGCATCAGATAAGACCTAAATGTCCACCTGGTAGAACTCGGAGAACAGAAGACCAAGTTGCAGCCTTGCAAATCCTGGAAACCATTTCTTGGGAGAACTGTGTCTAAAGGCAGGTACGTTCAATTACTATATATGAAGAACAATATAAAAACACACCAATAGGATTACTTTGCAATATACTTACGTAAGTTTCAGTCTCTTTGCATGACCAGGCATAACTGGGACATACAGCATTTTCACACCTTGCACAACCATTGTGGGCTCTATTCCATACTGTTCCTATAAAAAAATGAATTAAATAAGGGCATTTAGTTCCTATTGTTTTATACAAACACTGATTATGGTGAACGAAGCTGGATTAAAATGTTGAAACATGATATAAATAAAGATTTACCCTTGCTGTCAGCCTTACTATTATGTTTTATGTATAGACTTGGTATAACCCCAATTATGGGCTGGTACATTTTACCAACTTTCTGATTATAACAAGTTACAACTAATTTCTTCTGTACAACAAAATCTAGGACTTCTTTATACAGGAAATAAGAAAAAATATAGCAAAGGTCTTTAGTAAATTATAATTGGGCAAGAGAAGACTTTGTAAATGAATTTCCGTGGTAGACTGAACAGAAAAAAAAAATCCCTTTTATGTGCCGGTAAAGTTATGCAAATACTTCACAAATGTCATAAACTGTACAATGTGTAGAGCTGTGCAAGATTTCCCCAATTCTCTGGGTAATAAAGTATGTTGCAGGTAGTAAAAAAATGTGAGACCATGTTGAAAATGATATAACTGCATGCAGTAGTATAGTGTATAGTATAGAAAAAGGTGCATAGCAGGACTTCCATGCTCCAAGGTGTTCTTTTGTGCATGTCCCAGCTCAGGAATGCCTTTGGCCAATTTATTAATATATCTGTGTTTCAGCTTTCAAGTTGCAGCTATACATAAGACCTCCACCCCCCTGCAAAATCACCAATTCCCCTAGATGTCACCGATATAACTCACTCAATGGAAAACCCAAGGATGACACATCTCACTAAAATGAGCTTGCGCTGTGGCAAAGGGGTCAAAAGCCTAAATTTTAATTTTTAGGCCCTTTTTTTTTTTTTTTACTTTAGAATAGTGACTTTGCAAAGGGGTGGGCTACCATAAGTCTCAACATGTTTTTGCTGCAAAGCATTACTGTACTAATACTGTGAAGTGCATAGGAGCACATAACACATATCACCTAAAATCCAATCTTTGAAATACCTTAAAGAATAACTAAACCCAAGAAAAAGAAAAAAAAAAAAAAGGATTATATTGCAGCTCACCAGTCCCCTAGACATGGAGGCTGCATTCCTTTTCTTTTCTAGGCTACTATCTTCAGAATGTACAGAGAAATGGGATATATTTTACATATACTATTTATACTTACAAAATCTATTTCTTGGAGTTTATTGAGGGACACAAATTCAGAGAATGTATTGTTCTTCTCTCACCAGGGTTGGTAAAAAAAAAAAACAAACCCCAAACACCTCCTACTCCCAACATGCCGCAATTAAAGCAGTACCAAGAGCATTATAATAAACACAGATGGGTGGAACCAGTGTCCCTCACTGGACTCCAGGAAATGGCTTTTATAGAACACAGGAATTCAGAGATTGTTGGTATATCCAAAAGCAATCTAACTGAGGGATGGGCAGCAACAAAAACACTAACAGTCCTACAAAAAACCCCAACAGAACTGGGGACAGCCTGCAGCTCAAAATAGCTGCATGAATGCCAGAATCTGTCATCGAATGAGGCTTGAATGACTACCTGGTAAAACTTGGAGAACATAAAACTTGGAGAACGTATGAACAGAAGACCAGATCTAGAATACTGGACTCTCTTGCCCTTCTCTGGACTCTCTCCAGCCCAAGGACATCTTTTCTGTGGATCAAAACTGGACCGCATACTCCAGATGAGGCTGAACCAGCGATCTATAAAGTGGCAACATTATTGCTTTGTCTCTACAGTACATTCCCTTTTTAATACAAGACAAAACTCTGCTCGCTTTGTTTGCCGCGGCCTGGCATTGCATACTATTGTTCAATCTGTGGTCTACAATGACCCCCAGATCTTTTTCCATTTCTGACTTCCCTAGTGGAGTACCCATTATGTGTATTCTTCTTGCTTGTTTTTAACCCCAAAGTGCATTACTTTACATTTTTCAACATTAAACCTCATCTGCCATATAGCTGTCCACCCCCCTATTTTATCCAGGTCCTCCTGTAATGTAATAGTGTCTAAGTCCGTGTCAATTACCCTCCCAATTTTAGCATCATCTGCAAACACAGAAACATGGCTATTAACACCTTCCCCGATATCATTAATAAACAGGTTAAACAATATGGGGCCTAGCAAGGAACCCTGGGGCACGCCACTCTCAACCTAAGGCCAATCTACAAAAGAGCCATTTATCAATACTCTCTGGACACGTTCCTGTAGCCAGTACTCTATCCATGTACACACCATTTCATCTATGCCCATAGATCTCAGCTTGTGTACTAAGCGTTAAAGTGGTACCGTGTCAAAAGCTTTGGCAAAATCCAGATATACCACATCCACTGGCTTTCCTCCATCCAGATCTCCACTCACCTATTCGTAGAATGTTAGTAGGTTGGTCTGACAAGAATGATCCTTCCTAAATCCATGCGGTTTATCACTTATTATACCATTACCGTGGACAAAATCCACTAAATAGTCCTTTATCATTCCCTCAAATAGTTTGCATACTATTGATGTTAGACTGACTAGTCTGTAGTTCCCAGGTTGACATCTTGAACCTTTTATGAATATTGGTACCACCGTAGCAATCCGCCAGTCACTTGGTACCCTTCCAGTGATTAAGGAGTTCTTGAAGATGAGGAATAATGGTCTCGCTATAACCTGGCTGAGTTATTTAAGTACCCTGGGGTGCAGGTTATCTGGTCCTAATTATTTATTTGCATTAAGGTTTTCAAGTCTTTGTTGAATCCCGGCTACTGTCAACCACTGCGGTATTGTAGCAAGCAAAAAGGTTAGACTTTTCTCAGCAGAGCAGAGAAAATATGTCCATCCTCCTCAGACAATAACAAAAAACTGAAGCATGCTGGACGTAGCATGCACTGAAAGCAAAAACAGGATCTTTCTTCTGTAAACTACAAATCTCTCTACTGCTATGCAATGAAGATGAACAAAGGCAGACATATGCATCTCAGCCTGGATTGCAACCATGGCTTCCGCCACAGATGCATTGGAGTAGTAAGTGTAGCCACCTCATCTACAGACTGGTAAGCTGCAATATATATTTGCTTTGGGGCTCAGATACACTTTAGTAACACCATACCAGTTAAAATAACTCATATCCTAGAGAACTGACTGCAATATCTACTTGTTCAGCACTTCCCTACATGACAAGTCAGCCTAGATAACTTTTTAACAAATATTTTATGTTGTTTAGGTCAGAGCCAAGCAAGCCTCTACTGATAACCTTTGATATATATAAAAAAAAGGCAATCCAATAAGCAACCTAGCCATAAAGTAAAAAAAAAAAATGAAACATAATATGTTGATTTATTGTGTAAAACACGTTCCAACTAAAATGATGCACTGGGATTGTTCTAATAATACATTTTAACACTTTTGCTGTGTTTGGGCATTTTATGTACTTGTATGTGTAAGGAGGAGCAAGTGGAGCAAGTGTAAAGCTATACTAAAGTCTCCTACTATAAACGGATGTGGAGGCCATTTTTTCTATACAATCTCAGAGGAAAAGGATGTGACAATGACTCATAGGCTATGATTTCTAGCAATATGGGGATCAATCACACATAAAATCTTGTAAAAGATATCACAGATTGTGAACACACAGAACAAGCCAATTTAATCCTACCCTGACGGCGTTAATGAAGTCCAGTAGAGTGAAATCTTCCTTGCCATAGATTGTCCACCTGTCCCAGATTGTGAATGAAATTCCATTCCTGTGACATAAATCATAATGAGCATTCAGCTTTGCTAGTCAGTGTCCAGATTACTTTTTAAATAGAGTAGCATTATTTATGAAAAAAATACATTTTTAAATGATGTTTCTATAGTTCTCTATAATACATTTCAGAGAATGTATGAACCCCACATGGTCCAACAGTATAGCAAGCTGTGGAGCCTGTAAGCCTTCTGGAGCTCCTAGCTCCTGCTGATTTAAAGACTGAATTTTGTAAAATGCAGTACTGAAAGAATATTGTAGCATAATGCTGGGTAAACATTTACCTTACATAAAAAGTTCATGTGATGTGAAGTTATAATCCTCACCTGCATTACCACCAGCTGGTGAAAACTAAAGTAAGCCAATAAACATTCAGGTGCAATAGCTCTCTATGGGCACTGCTGTTGCTGAACATCTGAATCCTAGTGCAGATCAGAATATAATGGTTATGTGGGATCAGTTTACCGTAACCCTCTGATTACAGAGGCCATTGGGGTGCGGTAATTAACTTTTAAATAACCATGCATTCAAAAGAATACTTCAATTTACCTAATGGGTGCCACGGCAAAGACAGCAAATAAATGTTGTCATAAAACAACAGTGATCATTCCAATCAGCTTCAGATATCAGGCAATTGAAATGGTTTACAGTGTAATTACACTAATATATTCCATAGTGTTAAAAGATCTCATACAAAAGGACATATAAATGAGAGTTCATATAAATGCCCAGTATGGAGAAAACAGAGGATATTTGTTTATGACATCCCTTTATTACATTACCTGATATGTGTTCTTTTTACTTCTGCTGTCTCGGTGAATACAATGATTGGAATCGCAAGGTTGAAGAAACAGTTCTTGTAAGCTTCAAATGGATACCCAGCAACTACTTTAATCAACTCCAGGGCAACCTAGAAGTAAAGTAATCAAGAATTACACAATTTGCATTTGCTGACTAATAATACTTTCTTGTGGGCTGAAGGAGTTTTCTAGAAAACCTGGCAACCTATTTTATTAGACCTATTTGGGTTGCAAAGGTTGCTGCACACCTCTAGCAGCAACTACTGCACAATCAAGGGGTTCCCTACAAGAACCAATGCATTTCATCATTGCACCAAGTAATGATGGTCTAGTTGGGTGTTTTGGCTTATCAATGTGTGAATACTATTGAATAAAAAAAAATAACAGACCAACACTCCAGTTAACCTGTGCCCTAAACCGGCTTTCGGTTACAAGGCCTGCAGAATCTTTTATTGTGCGTGCCAACACCAGACGTGATTATTAAGTTTGGCCTCATTCACATGGATGTGCACAACCATACAATGTGCACGTCCATGCAAAATCTTGAGCACACGAGGGACAGCTGGTGCGTGTAGCCGCGTTCAGCTGCCTGTTTAACTCAATGACCGGATGCGGCTGCCTGCCGGCCCAAACTTGTATATCCGTACAGGTAAGGATGCACGCCCTTGGACACAAGACAGTCTGCGCCCAAGGGCAGCATCTGTATCTTTACAGATATACAAGTTTGGGTCGGCGTGTAGTTGCACTTAGTCATCGAGTTGTCCGTGCTAATACACGCACTGTCCCTCCTGGGCGCAGATTTCTCCACGGACATACACGATGTGAAGCTGTGCACGTCTGTGTGAATGAGCCTTCTTTATGAAGACTGTGCTTACTTCAGTTGTCTACATAGCATTAGGTAATAATTTAAGAACCAGAGCACCCTGGACTCTTCCGGTTATACAAAACAGGCAGGTTTGTGCCAAATCAAAAAGCATTAACACTTTAAAGCAGAAGTACAATATGAGACGGGTGTCTGTCTAGCTGCTGTCACATCATTTGTCTCTTTGTGCTCAGATTTGTGACATTTCTGGCAGTTACCCATCTCAATACATTCACACTCCTATGGTCAGGTTTACAATACTGTTTAGATTGTAGATTCCCTCTACTCTACTGTCATTTTCCCTACAAGATTAAAAAGTTGACCTCTGTACTACCACTGTATCAGCATTAGTGTGACGTAACACAAGCTGCAGAGAAGATAGCTGTGTGATTTATAGATAAGGAGAGGGAGTCCTTGAAACTATTATGTTTTCACTACTGGTGATGTAGAAATGGGAGTGGCTTCATTCAAACATTGGAAAAAAAAAAACACATAAAAAAAACACATTGCTTAAAGTGTATTTCCATTTTTGCAGCCAAATAGGGATACCGCCCACTTTGCATTTGTTATATTTTCCCATTCACATTGCAGAATTTAACCACGTGCTGACCGGGGTGGCTTTCTTTTGGATTTTTATCCGATTAACCGATTAATCGAACTTAATAATCGGCTAACTAATCGATTTTGAAAATAATCGTTAGCTGCAGCTCTATATTAAGGACAAATTACTGAACATTTTGAAAAAAGAAAGTTTAGTTTACATTATGTTATGAAACAATTATTATTACCCAATTTTTTGGTAAAATATAAAAGACGGGGTCACGTCAGGTAAATAGATACCAAACATGTTAAGCCTTAAAATTGCGCGCACCTGCAAAAATCGCAAAAAAAACGACCATTCCCATAATTGACCATAGGCGACGCTTTAAAAGCTTTTACCACTCATCAGTTTACTGTTATCAGTGATTGATGGCCCTAGAATTATTGCTCTCACTGAGACATTCGCAGCGATATGTAACATGTGTGGCGTAGCAGCGATATGTAACATGTGTGGCGTAATGGGCACAATCGTCGTTTTCGCACGTATGTACACCCGACACGTTTGCATGTGTGTATGTATGGGGGGGACTTGAAAAAAAATGTGTTTTTTTTACATTATTTTTCATGTGTGACTTTAATTTTTTTTTGCAACTTAAATTTTTTCCCCCAGTTAACTGTATTGCTATCACATATGGGGCCAAGAGCCCCCCCCCAGGTTACAGCCATGATACCACTAACCAGGCCAGAGACAGCAGCTGTTGCTGTAGCAATAGCTGGGATTATCTTCCCGGCGATACGTTTGGTCTTCAGTCGGTCAGCTGGTTCAATGTTGTACATTTTGGCTCTCAAGTTGGAAGCTGCCGTGATGAAGTTGATATGTTCATTGTTGTCATCATCTTTTTCAAATGATAAGAGCTTCATTTGGAGGTCTTCTATCAGAGCAAAACAACGGAAATGTAAAAGGAACAGCCAGTTAATAAACACCCTCTATCAGCAGAGTTCAATAATCTCTGCACTTATGCTCAGCAAAAGTCAACACACACTGTTGTCCGAAACAAGCAAGCTAAGTATGCAATGTCCCAGCAAGGACATAAAAGCCACCACCGGCTTCCAAGAAATCAGTCTGAAAGTATTATAAAAGAATGCTAGAGATCTACCAAAGAACTACGTCTAGGTCAAATAGTATGACCATATAGAGACTTCAACCAGTTACGCTCTAGGAGCTAGTTTTACATTTCAGCTATGAGCCTTTAAATTCAGTAGCAACTATTTGCTACAAAAAACCCCCCAAAAACCTAAAGAACACATAATAGAATAGAATACATGCACCTTTTGTAGTGCACATTTTTATTACTTGCAGCTGGCAAGAACATGCTGATGGGGCACTCTGGATAATCACCTGTGGGCATTATCATGTCTACTATGCTTAAGGTGTTTGTAAAAATATAAATAAGTATCACAGACATTACTTAGCTGTGTTGTTACAGCTAAGTTAACTGATATGGTTACAGATACATTTTCAGGACAAGCTTTTGAGGGTCTACCCCCTTCTTCTAAGGTCCAAGCAATTCTAATACACAGAGGTTTAGGCTGGGTTCACACCTGGGCGTTTTTCAGCGCTGAAAAACGCTCAAGCAGTGAAATCCTATTAACTGCTATGGGCATGGTTCCCACCTGGGCGTATTTCAGCGCGTTTTGACGAGCTGAATAACACCCTACACCCAAAATAGTGCATTAAAAAAAAAAAACCCAAAAAAGAGAAAAAAAAAAAAAAATCATACCGCCAGGAAGGTTAAAAAACGTGCTAAAAAAACGAGCATAAAACGCGCCTATATGGAACTTCGTGTGGTGAATATCGTTTTTCTGCACTTAACGCCAGTCAATACAAAGGCAACCAAGGAGACAATTGTTTTCTATGTGCCATGTTCACAGTGCACCTTAGCTTTTACATGGGATGCAGTGCATTGCGGAGAAATGCAAGCATGCATCATTTTTTGCACCTTAGCCCTGCTGCGATGTATGGGAATGAACGAACTAAATATATATACACACACACACATATACACATACACAGTGCTTTCCATTTTCCATTCAAACAACGTTTGGGGTACCACTCCCCACCAAACAACGGATACTATCTCCGGCATGCTACAACAGAATGTTTTAGCATGTAGCTAGCGTTAAAGGGCCTTTAGCTAAATGTCAAGAAGAAATCTGCAAAGACAACAATATCTGTGGGGGGGAGATAGACACGTGCACATGATGCCAACTGGGTAACAAAAATTTAAGAAAGTTATTAAGAAAAGGAGTAAAAGAAGGGGGCTGTGGAATGAGAAGAGGAGGGGGAAGAGTCACAGATAATGTACATGTAGCACATTTTATTAATCTTGGTTAGTATACACACAGAGCATAAAGTCTGCAGGAAATCTCATTATTACTGAAGGGCACCCAAGTGTGCAAAGTAGAAAATAATTTTAGAACAGGGTGTGCGACCTCTACTACTGTAAGGTCGCACGACTTTAAACTTACGGACATGTTCGAAAACCCGCCGAGCATCGTACGATGTTCGGCGGGTTTGTGGCATGTCCGTACGATAACAGCCGCACGGGCAGGTGTGCGCAAGCGCACACTGCCCGTTCGGCATTGCGTTCATCGGAAGCCCGCCCCTCAGGGGGCGTGGCCTGCGATCATCGCAAGTACGATCTGCCTATGCAACATAGGCAGATCGTACGTTTTTTAAAGTACCTTACAACCATCGCAAGACAGAAGTCTTGCGATGGTTGTAAGGTGTGTGCCCAGCCTTATACTCGAATATATACGGTAAGTTATTTTATCTTGGAACATATTTTCAGTTCTCAAAACATGAACTTAAGAGTAAGAAGACAAAGTCCAATCCAAGTATAGGCTATAATTACGCAGTGCGCCTCCCAGTGGCCAGAAGAGCACACACCCATCCATCTCCACTACCTGACTGTTGTGACATTCCTTGGAGAGATGTCTTGCTTTTTTTCTTCCACTCAAATAGTTAAAAGTGGAAATTACCTTTTGAAGCTCGTCCTTCGGCAAGGACTTTTTCAAGTTGTACAACTGCAATCCTCTCATCTTCACTACTTATTTGGGTCTGGTCAGGCTTCTTTGCAGTTTCATCTGTTTCAACAACCTAATGGAATGGAAAAAGTGCAATGTTGACACACTGATACAATGAGCAGTTCAAGGCCATTCTTTGACTGCTACAAAGCAATGCAAACTGTATGCACACATACATGTACCAATATTCTATCAGTGCTTGTTGCATTTTTTTTCCCCACTAAGGCTACATTTACATATAGGATTTGCCGCATGGTTTTCCGTGCGGAAGACCGCACGGCAAGGATAAATGAAATTGCGCTTGTACTAATTTGCGGGCCACCGCAAAAGTCTGAACAATGCACACTAAAGTGCATTGCTTTTTCTGTTTAGAGCGACTCTGCACATATTCAGTCGGCCGAATACACGTGGACAACCGCTGCTATGTGAATAGAGCCTCACACTCCGCTTTCAGCCAGTAGCTAAAAGTTGGCTGGATACGGAAAGATGATTTCCAATTGGCTGCTTTATGTTACTGCACATCATGACACTTATTATGTTCAAAATAAATCCCTACTTGTATTACAGCACATCATAGAAAAGCAAGACATAGACCTGATTTACTACACTAGAGCATGCACACTTCCAACGTGAATTTTCGCTTATCTTAGTGAATGAGAAAAAACAATGTGAAAATTCACTTTTCAACGAATACCCAACCATGTGCATAAATAAAAACAAAAAGGGATTGTTTGCACATGATTGGATGTTTGAAATCAGCATAACTTCACATTATTCACTAAGCAAAGTGAAAATGCACTTTGCAAAGAGAAAACTTACTTAGCATAGTGAATAAGGTAAAGTTCATGTGAGCAAAAAATCATTTTTTTAAATTTATTTGCATATAATTGGGTATTCTTTGCAAAGTGAATTTTCGTTTTTTTAGATCTCAATCACTAAGAGAAGTAAAAAGGAGTCTTATGGGGAGAGTGAAAGGCACTCATCCCCATAATTAGAGCCGACGTGTGACACCGAAGCTGCGCTAATACGTTAGCTCTTTAGAGCGAGAACTGAGCTGATCACTCGGTTCCCAATCTTCTCCCAGCAGAGAGGTGTCAGTTATTTCTCCCCACTTATTCCCCACCTCTCCTTTCCATTCCTCCAGTGCTGACTGGAGGGCAGGATGGGGGAGGGCACAGCTGGTTCAGCCTCAAGAGAGCCAGCTGTCAATCAGGTGGCTGTTCGGATCCTGACAATATTAATCAGGATCTTTCCTGGCCACAGTCCGCCTCTGCTCTATCAGTATGTGGCAAGCAATAGTCTGCTATATGCTGAGTTTTGGGTCACCGGAGGACATGTCCTCCTGTGATCCTAAAGTGAACTATGGCCAGAAAAGGAATGAAAATGCTCTGGTTCTTTTGACTAGTGAATATGAATTTTAGAAACTAATAGCCACAAAACTTTATATTATTTATTTTTTCTATTTAAGAGCATCTCTCTGGAATAATGTGACCCATGTGTCCCCAGGCTGGCTATTGTACACTTGAACCTAAATTTAGAAACTTGTAAAGTCAGATTCTACAGCTTGCGTGCACCCTTAGGCAGAAACAATACTCATCCCTGCTATTTGATACAGTTAGTTGAGCTGTTTAGAATTAACTTATGGATATCTAGTCATCTAAAAAATGCCAAAAAGGAGGGGCCAGACTACATGTAGGTATTCCATCTAAGACAAAAAGAAGTAATACTTATTAGGACCTACCTTTAGTTTTAAAAGGCAAATTTCTATTTGTTTTAGAACCTGCACAGCCTTTGTCCTCATTCAGATTGTAGAACACCACATGTATTTAAACAAACACTGTTTTGTACCATTACAGAAAATCTATTTCAGATTTTTTTTGGTTACATGTGGTATCCCGTGACACAGCTTTCTCAATCTCCTGAATTCCGAAGTTTGGGTGCACTTTACTTAGTTTAAAAACTCTGGGCCTTCTTGATATGTAGTTTTTAAACCACATATCTAAATTAGAAAGCCAAGAAAATTAAAGTTTCTAAAGCCATAACTTTATTTTACATTTAGTAGGGAAGGGGTAGTGTAGTTTTATTGCTGTGTGACAATATCACTGGGACAGAAAGTGATGAAAAATAAACAAATTCCCATTTGTCATCAGAACTGCAATAGGAGGTAAACTCTTCCAATGGGGATACCTGTTCAGGTGACAACTACGCAAGAAGGGATTTCCCTGAGCTTCAGTGAGATTTCCTATCACTTGGTAATTTGGCTCGCTGAGAAAGTGGAGGTAAATCTCCTCAGTGGAAGATAGTAAAATGGATGCAGAAATATAAAGTTTGACTCTATTATTCTTTAACATTTAGAAATCTTGAGAAAGAGGTGGATCCAGAAATGTGTTGATTTGCATCAGACTGGAAGTGGGCAGAGCTTCTGGAACACCAATGGATTGCACTAGACACTGCACTGTAACACCTATGCCTGGTAGCTAGCGGAAATGGGAGCACTGCCACTGACCACATGTTGACTTCTAGCATTCCTCCCTCACTGAGGCTGCTTGATGTTTGCGGTATATGGGACTCTCATTAATGCAAAGGAACTTCCTGATTGTAAAAATACCTTCCAGGAGTCCACTAAGGAACACAGTCTTTCACCTTCAGGTTATAGTGCCACCTACAGGATGATTGGACACTGGCAAACAAAAAACCTGTAAGCCAGCCCAGGAGAACCCTTCTTACTACCAGCATGCCTCAGCAAAGATGTACAGAAAGCACAATCATAAACACAAAGGGATGTCTTTCAAAGGCCTTCAAAAAAATAATTTTACAGAGTTTTTTAAAAAAATCCCGTTTTCCTTCTCGTCCATTGAGGGATACAGGAGATCTTTTACCTTTGGGACGTCCAAAAGCTGTCCAACTGAAGGGTGGGGGCAACACCTCAAAAAATGTGAGCGTACCTAAGAAAATATACAACAGGGGACTGCCTGCACCTCAAAAGCCGCCTAAAGCACCTAATGTCCAAAGCTGGCCTTAGATGAGGCTGCAAAGTCTGTTTGGTTGAATTTGAGAACATGTAAACAAAAGGCCAGATGACAGCCTTGCAAATCTGGGACTCAACTGATGCCGAAAAACTCTGGAAGCATTCACATATCCGGTATAGTGGTCCTTGACAGGAAAGGGTAGACCCCGATCCTTGAGACCACAAGCTTGAATGAAGGTCTGTCTGACCCACCTAGAGATGGTGAAATAAGAAGCCGGTGCTCCCTTGCAGGGACCATCTTGGAAGAAGAAAAGGCAGGGCTCAATCTTTCTGAAAGATGCAATGACAGAGATGGCTACAAGATATACCACCTTGTGAGTAAGAGCATAGGGAGGAGTGTCTCTAATGGATTGAAATGGTAGTTTCTGAAGTGTTAAAAGAGCCAGATTCAGAGACCATGGGGTCAAAGGTAACAGAGGGGAGCTACATGGGAGACTCCCTGTACAGAGGTTTTAATAAAGGAGTGAGAAACTAACAAAACTGAAACAGCAGAAACCTGACCTTTAATTCTGTTGAGAACCAAACACTGGTACAGACCAAAGAGCATCTGTCCCATGGAAAAACTCATAGTTCTCCATGGGACAGATGGAGAAAATCTAGCAAAGCCCACGGAGCGTCCACCAGGAGTCTTATTAGATTAGTGGTCTGGGCAAGTTTGGAGTAACGAGGATTACAGAAATAGCCAACAAGTAATTAAACAGTGCTACACTATACCTCTTAATTGCAAAAACCAAAAATGCAAAAATATACATCTCTCCACATCTGAAATAAAGTGAAATCAAGTGTAAAAACCAAACAATGTCTCTTCAAGTGTCACACCCAAGTTCAATTTTTCAGTGTGAATATCCCTCCACAGTGAAAAAAATAAAACAAAAATATAAATGTAAAATTATACCAATATAAAATACAAAAACAATGTCTCTTTAAACATCCTTAATAAATCTCAAAGTCCATACACAAGTCAGTTCAGTTAGTAAAAGCCTTCCACCACTCCTATGTCAGTGCTATTATCTTCCACCATTCCACTCCACTCATGGACACCACTTCCCAAAAAAAGCTGCTCACCTCCTTCTTAGACCTCTCTTACCAAGGTCTAAATGTGTACTCTGACTCTGTCCGCCATAGAAGCGGTGGGACTTGCTGTGGAGCCACTTCTAACCACAGGTTTGGACTGGGTTTAATTCTTGCTGTGGGAGAGGTCAGAATCAAGGATGCCCCTTTGAGTTTGGGAACAGTAAACAGATTGGAGTAGAATCCTTGAAACTGTTCTGCAAAAAGGAACTGGAGCAATGCCACCTTGGTCTAGAAGACCCAAGAAGTACATGAAGATTTGTTCAACTGTGCTACAGCAATTTGTTCCAAACATTTTACAGGTGAGGGATTAACCACAGCAGTAGTAAGATCCCTTTCAATAGATTTTTGACCAGGCAGCCATGGTCTGGCAAAGTAAAGTCACAGCCAAGGTGGAGTGAAGAGCAGACCCCGACAAGCGAGAACAGTGTCCTAGAAGTGGCAACCAAACACTTGGTTGGGTCCTTAAAAGACAGGTGCCTAATCCACCACCTGCCAGATCCACAGTAGCGATAGCCCACTTTTCTACTAAACCATCCTCACACTGGTATAAGGTAAAGCATTTGGGGAGCAAACAGCTTGTTAGGATGTTTCCAGTCTCTGTAGAGAAAGAGGCTCAACACTAGGTGCAATGAAAAGTTCTTTGTTCCCTTAGGAGATTTAAAAAGACCCAAGACTGGACATGTCACTGATAGAAGAAACAGGCATTTCAGAATGCTTTGCACTGTATTGCTTACAGGTGAAACGGTCTCTTTTAATTTGGGAGTAATAACAGAAGACCGTCCCCTCCAGGATAAGCTCCCCTGACAAAGACTAGAGCAATTCAGAATTAATCTCTATGAAAAATGGCCCAGAAGCAACTGTAAATCAGATAGACACTGTGGAGGCAGGCACAGGAGCATGCATGCGGCCTCTGCGGTAAGAGTCAGCAATAACTGGGTGATTGTGGTAAAAACCTCAGGCGAAAGGGCAGAGGAACCAGCAACACCCAATGAAGATATTCCAACGATGGAATAGACTCTAGGAGCAGAGAGCAACATAATTCTGTCCCCACCATCAGTAGGCATGCAGCAAGCAGCCCTGAAGCCGTAAGTAGAGCGGAAAGCATTCTCCAACCAACACGTCTCCCGAAACAGGATCTGGAAAGTGCCCTATGTGGTACCCAGTGCCTGAAGGTAATTTCCAGGCTATCCCTGCTATGTGCGGTCCTATGGGGTCCAGACGCGACCCTCCAAAGGCCAGGCTAAGGACAACCTGGCTGGGTAGCTGCAATTGAAGAGACCAGCTCTAGCAAAGTAGAGAAAAATTGTGATTGCATTTTTTTCCTTACGGAATAAGAAATGGTGTCCGCCAAAATAGGTTCATCTTTTACATATGAGAGCTGAAGGAAAGACATTCATCCTCTTAGTGCACTGGTAACAAACTGAGGCATGCTGGTAAGTAAGAGGGGTTATTCTGTGCTAGCCTTCAGTTATTTTGTTTTGCCAGTGTCCAATCCTCCTGTAGGCAGCAGTATAACCCAAAAGGTAAAATACTTGCTGTGCCCCTCAAAAACAAGAAAGAAAATAGTTTTAAAATTATATTAACTTTGATCCAGCCTTTTTTCTGATTTGTCTTACAGGGGAAAAAAAAAAAAGGAACATACACATACCTTGTTGGAAGGTGTGAATTCTTTGATGGTCATCCCTGCTATAATTTTCTGAACAACAATATGTGACAAATCCTGCCAATGCAAAAAAATAAGTAATCAATTATGAATTATAACGAACCTTGTTATTAATTACTTACAGTATGTCTGAAACAAAATACAGCTTTCCAATGTATGTGACAAACTGCAAGGACAACAGCTAGTTTAAAATGTCAGCAACATGAATCCTGATTGGATATTTTGAGTTGCTGCACCCTGTCCTTTTACTGGATAGCTGGTAGACCTGAAATACATGTAGTTCTTCTAAAACAATATTTTAAAACCATATCAACTTTGGTTGTCAACAATATAAATATTTGCTAATAAAGGGCAAATAGGCATGAATGGGGGCTAGCATGCACAGTGGTGGTACATACCACTAGTTTGGCAGTCAGAATTAATTAGATTACTAAGGTGCTCCTACTCCATTAAAGGAATACCTGAGCTCTGACTTTATTTGAATAATGCATGTAACCGAAAAAAAACCTGTAAAAACAAGCAGCATGTACCGTCACTCATTACCCAGTTATATCAACTCGCACGGTTATTTATAGCGTCAGGATCACTATACCAATTTACAGTGTATGTTTTGCTGAAACTATTTTATTTGTATTTTTGGATATACAGTCAACTCTCAGTTATCCAGTATTCAACTAACCAGCACTCTCAGCAAACCAGAAAAAAAAAATCCTGTGTAATCACCGCTTTGCTAATCTGCGGCATGTATTATCCTGGAAATGACCGTGTGTCCATTTGTCTCATTTGCTTTTGATTACTGCATTTCAATATTAATATGAAGTCAATACAAAGTTTATGTTATGGTTTAGAATGCGGTATGGCATTAGTTAGACCTATTTTTAATAGTAACTATCAAGCAACCAGAAACTACATTTATCCGGAATCTACCAATCCCTGTGGATGACGGATAATGGGGAGTTTACTGTAGCAGGGAAGGATCAGAACCGTAAAATTTTTATTTGGGGAGGGTACATGTGCCATTGGGGACACCTTTTCCAGTTACAACTGTCTATTGGGAGACTTCTCTCAATTTTTAGATTTCCACTCACTTCCTGTTGCGTCTCGGGAACAGGAAAGGAAGGGAAATCGCAACGGGAGACCGCAAAAAATAAACTGAGGGGTTTTAACTACCAACCTAACCTGCATTTTTAACTCATCCCTTCTTGTCCTGTCCAGTTTTTAGAAATATCATATTTTAACACCAAATTTAAACACGCCACAACTTCCCTTGTGCATGGCAATAACATAAGCCATAACTGGGCGTTTGATAGGCTTCAGTGACAAACGTGTGAGTACTTGTGTGACCTGTTTTGCTAAAGGCAACAAAAACCTGAGAACTATTTCTCAAAACCAGGATCAACAACAACGTCACTTTCTTATGTCCAAGCACAATGGGGTTAATTTACTAAAGGGAAATAGACAGTTCAAGCTGCAAGGGAATTTTCCCTTTGCTTAGTGAATGTGGGGAAAATTCACATCATCACAAAGAATACCCAATCACAAACAAGGAAAATAAACAAATCTGTAATTTCGCTTGCAAGTGATTAGATTACAGAAGTCAGCAGAGCGTCACCTCATTTGCTAAGCCCTTGCACATTGAGCCTTTAGTAAGTCAACCCCTATGTTTATAATTCAGTTCAGCCTTCATTATTTCTTGTGGGCGAGAACTCCAAGTGTCAAGCTGGCAAGTAGCACTTCCTTACACAACATGGCAATTGCAAGATTTCTGCTGCTGTTGGGCAAGTTAGTGACTTAAATAGAACAGTACTGCTACTGGAACCAACCCCTTCCAGCAGTAAAAGCATCCTTAATGCATTCTATAAATTTACCTCTTCAGTGAACTTGATTGCCTGTACCTCTGCATACAGTTTGGCTGCGCTAATTATAAAGCCGACATGTCTGGAAATAAAAAGACACAAGTGGCATCAGAACACCTATATTTTACTAACTGCTGTCATGATAGATCGTAATATTGATATCTATAGATATAGATAGATAGATACACACACACATACACACGTTTATAAATGTGGCATTCACTAAACAGTCACTATTGCTGAATTAATCACTGTAATATAAAAACCACGCACCAGGAAGATACATCTGCATTGAATGTCACATTCACCACTTCATAAATATACCCCTTATTTTTATAGTGCAGAAACAATAGGCAGCAGACATATTGTACTTACAATGGATCTGTTATATCAAACTGTACTGGATTAGGGGGTCGCTTTGGAGACTGCCAAAATAAACCTGCATAAACAAAGCACATCCACAAATCATTTTATCATAAAAATGTGTTACTAAAACATAAATTATATTCCAAAGTGACCAAATACTGATATATTCTAAACATACAGATTTATGCTCACCAGCCAAATGCACGCTTCACAAACCACTTACACAGCTCAATAAATTTAAAACACAATTGTAGTTTTAGCAAAAGGCATGTAATTAAAAAGGTGAGAAGTAGGTATGTTGCTCAACTGTTGGCAAGAGACACGGTAATAATGGTAACATCATTACTTCTGTAAATTATGAAACAGAAGATCAATCATTAAAAGAGTCACAGCATGGCATGAACCACATCCCAACCCAATTAAAACAAAATGCCCCAAAACAAAAAGGAAGTTGCGTGTTTACAGTGCCACTGTTCCCATTTTTACTACTTACTGCCATCTTTTAACCGTGTATCAAGAGGGAATGAATGCAATAGCTGCTGAGCCTAGGATAAGAAATATAAAAGACAATAAAGTGAAGTCAAATATATGTAAAAGCTGCAATACCAACACAAGAAGTCTAAGCCATATAATACAAATCTACAGATATTTTCACTTTCAATACATTATTACATTTTCAAATAAAGAAACAAAAAAAGCTGCCCACACAGGGGCCAGAAACAAATTAGAACACATCCAAGAATGAAGGGCTTAAACATACAGTGACCCATAAATCTAGCAAAGAAGATTAGATTGTGAGATTGTGCAGCCTGGAAGCCCAGAGATTGAGTCACAAGCCTATTATATATAAAGAAGCCCACAGAGGACCCATATTACCAAAGAAGGGTAAGAGCTAGAAACGAAAGGGGCAAAGGGAAAGTAAAGCAAAAAGGGAGAGTAAACGTAAAAGGAATGAGGAAAGAAAAAAGGAAAGAGAACAAAGATAAAATAATCCAGGGTCTCCAAGATCCCTAACACACATTGATGGAGCTCCAAAATGAGTCTCGTCAAGGATTGCGGAAACTAGAGGGATCCGCAGTTGGAAGAGCATATGACATCCAGGGGTCCCAGACCTTAAGAAACAAAGCATGAGTGTCACGAAGGATACTCATCATTTTCATTGATGAACATAGTCTTCATGCGCAGCTTCACTGCAGGAAATGGAACCCTGGGTGTCCTCCATGCTCTTGCAATGGTCTGTTTCACAGACAAGAAAAGATAGGCGAGTAAGGTCTGTTGAGAGGGTGACAGCCCAGAAACTGTGTGATGCAGTAGAGCCACATGGGGATCTTTCTGGATAATAACATAAAAAGGAGAATGTATAAGGCCAAACACCCCCGGGTCAAAAGGAAGTCAATTTAGGGCACATCCACCAAATATGTAGTACATCCCCCAAATGGCTACAGCCTTGGAAACATCTATTGCAGATCTACAGATATTTTATTATATAAGCCACAACTATTCATCCCCCCCATGACACGGTGCTAGGCGTGATCCTCGAGGTTGTTAGTAGTGTCCAAGGTTCAGTGTGGGGCCCCTTAGTGTTTAATCCATTTATAAATTATATAGAATTGGGAGCTAAAAGTACTATTTCTGTGTTTGCAGATGACAAGTTATGTAGTGGAATACAGTCCTTGTAGGATGTCTCCAACTTACAAGCAGACCTGAATGCACTGTATTATTGGGCATCTATTTGGCAAATGAGGTTTAATGTTGATAAATGTAAAGTTATGCACTTGTGAGCTTGGTGCCAAATTATTCACTTTAAGGTCACTGCAAAGGACAAGGGGGCACTCTTGGCATCTGGAGGAAGAGAGGCTTAACCTTTGCATACGGAAAGGATTCTTCACAGTTAGAGCTGTGAAAATGTGGAATAGACTCCCTCAGAAGCTAGTTCTAGCTAGCACAGATAAACGTTTAACCTGGATGTATTTCTAAATGCACAGAATATTACTAGATATTAACTTCTTATAAGTAAAATAAACGCCAGAGGTTGTTGATCCAGGGAATATTGAATTGCCTTATAGGGTCCGCTGACTCAAGTGGCTGTACCGCTCAGCAGTCAGTTGCCCAAGCAACAAGCCCACACCTGGGGCTCTGCCTCCTAGGATCCCCATTGGTCACAGCCTTCTGCACCAGGACACTGTGCCCATGGCTAAAGCCTTGTTGCATCATGTTGACAAGTGATGCCCTCCATCTACTTCACCCTTCAGCCTTAAATGCTCCATTCTTCCAAAGGCACCCTATTTAAACCATTACTGATCCTGTGCTTGTTAGAAGTTTTTCCACTGCCTGACATTGCCCCATTCTGATTGCCTGTGTACTTTTGCCCATTGGCAGACCACATACTGCAATCTGCTCACCAACCTTGTGATTAAAATACTTTTCAAACTTTAGTCTTGCAAGTGCTACACAATGAGACCAACTCCTGGGTTTCCTGCTCAACAGCTTAACAACATGGAAGCAGCCTTCTAAACTTTCACCAGTTTGTATCCTCTGCAATAAAGAAGGAGGAAATAATAGGGTTTGATTATTACGTAGAACTGGCAGTAACACAAAAAAAAAAAAAAAAACAGACGCACAAATGCAATAGGATATTATAAAATATAGCAATGTAAATAAATAAAATATATGTCTTCATATGAAAAGATACCCAAATCACACACATGCATTTTTGCAGCTTGTTGCAGTAAAGTGGACAATGATCATTGTATCAGTTAATTAATTGATCCATTTATTTCTGTGCCTCTATTAGTCACGCGCCTTTGCGCAGGGATATTACTAAAACACAGGCACTAGCAGATCAGTTGCATTCTCCTCCTGCATGCACCTCCTCCCATGATTCAAAGCTCAGTATATCGCAGGCTACAGCCCGCGATATACTGAGAGCGCCGCAGCCGGGATTGATCCCGACAATACTGTCTGGATCCACCCAGCTGCGTGAGTGACAGTTGGCTCTGCCTATCTAGAGGCAGAGCCAGCTGTGCCCGCCCCTTCCGCTCCTACAGTCCGCACTGGAGGATCGGAGAGGGGAGAATCCCTGTGGGGAGCGGTGACTAACAGTCACGGCTCTCTGCAGGGAGATAATCGGAAAGTGAGCAATCGACGGTATGTGTTTGCTCACTTCCCGATCAATAGAGCCGACCTGTGACCGCTTCTTTGTCACACGTCGCCTCTTACTGTGTCGAAACTGAGTCGAAATTACTCACCTCACAGTTCCCCTTTAATAAAAAGGCATCATGACACTAGAAATTTCATTATGACAATTTAATCAGATTGAAAAGAGGATCAGAGGATTATGATGCTTGGTGTTACATTTGCTGTTAAGGTATACTTGACATAAGAGAAAAATGGAGGCTGTACTTGCTCGCCTCTCATAATAAAAAATAAATCTAGTTGTTTGGCTGTCATGCCGACACCCTTCCTTCAAAACATTAAAGTTTATGTAAAACTCAAACTATAAGCTTCTCTTATCTGAAATCATGGCCTGTGTAGTGTTATTTCAAGCATTATCAGTCCCTCTAAACTACAGAATACCCTCCTATGTCATGGGGAAGAGGAGAGCGGATGTGTTAAGTAGTCCTATCTTAGGGTGACAACACTGCTTCTCCATAGATACAGTACAGCGAGTGAGCTTTGTTGCCCTAGGACAGGAAATGTGTTACTGCAAGGATCATCAGTTGAAGATAAAGGAAAAGAAGCCATCAAAAAAAGAAAATGAATGCAGTCACTGCGAGGACTGGTAAGCTGTAATCTATTACATTCTTCTTCTTGGGTTTAGATACTCTAAGTCACTGATACAGAACAAGCATGCAAGAACCTCAGACTTTTCTGATCTACATACTTGTTCTGAATCTGTGACTCGGCAAGTACTTAATTTAATGGGTCCACATAACATTCAGGTAACTACCACTTTCACATTGGCAACATCATTTCCCATTAACCCTTTCATGACAAGTTTTACAGGCTGAGATTTAGCTTTAAGATTATGCAACTTACTTTACATTACTTTTTGGGTGTGATAAATGTGCAGCCAAATACCATTTTCTGTACATACCTGTAGAACGTCTTTTACAGATGCATGCGTCTGCCAGAATTTGTTGTACAATGAAGGCTTATGTGAAAACGAACTCTCAAACTGATAACAAAAGCAGAAAAGAAAGGTTAAAGCCTAGAAGTCAAAGCTACTACTTGTGGAGTCTCAGTTTTACATTAAAGTGGAAGCCTGCTTGAAACCCCTCCAGTAGCCTCTTTGTTCTTTACATTCCTTAAGTTGGACATACAGTATATCTAACCATTAGGCTAAAAAAAAAACCTCACTTGATTCTTCAATCCACGTGGCTAGGGGAATCCCCTCACTGGGCTTTTGTATTCCCACAGCAGCGAGTATGCCACTGCCAAAATAGTCGAACAGCGACTGCCGCTAATTGGCTGCAGTAGATGTTTGCCCAAATTTTCAGACTGGCTCCTTTGACAAAAGTCGACTAAGAAAAAAAATTAATAAAATCGAGGTTTGTTGAATGGAGGGGTCCCAGGGGGCCCACACTGCTCATATTTTGCCCGAGGACCATTATTTGAGCAGTGTATTGCCTTCCTAAGGAATTACTTTGAGATACGATAGCATAAAAAGCACTCGATCAGGCAAGCAGTAAAATTTGTATGCATCCAACTTTTTTCCCAAGAGAATGTGGGACCTTCTAAAGTGAAAGATAATCAGGTCGCCAGACAGAGGGTCCTGGCTTGCAGTTATACGACATTACTAAAGAGTTAACAAAGAATCTCTTAATTAGAAAGCTGCCCACGCCAACGTTAAAAAGACACTTTTGGAACTGCTTTTCTACTATGCAAGAAAGGGGATGGCTATGATATCTGCAGTCCAAGAACGTCAGCAGCACTCCAATGTAAACGTGAAGGGATAGATTTATTGACACATATTTGTCATCAAGCTCAGAATAAGTCATTCTGAGCTTTATGAAGGGGACCCTGTTAGGCCCCGAAAGCGCTTCCATTTATGACAAATATGTGTCAATAAATCTATGCCTTCTTCACGTTTACATTGGAGTGCTGGTGACGTTCTTGGACTTCATGGTATTACACAGTGCCATCCGTGGTCATTGTGAGCACCCACCTGGATCAGACAGGTGTTCATTTCTATCCGGTAAGGAGTGCAGCAAGATACAACGATATGCTATGATATCTGATCCACAAACCATACTCTTTTAGAAAACTAAACAGCAATCTATCATTATACCAAGACACATACAAACAGAGCAATGCACTTAAATAACCTAATCCCACCAGCCAACAATGAGATCACAGCTCTATACATTTATATCTTGTCCAGTGATATCAGCTAATTATGTCATATTGCCAAATGCTCCTTTAAAGATTAGCCTGTAATGGAACATATGAAAATATGGGGAACCCCACACCACCGTCATAAAACAATATTACTATTGGTGAGCAGAACTGCTGTACACCGCAGAAATATTTATTACAAAATGCATTAAAAATACCTTGTCTCTTGCCCATTGAATTGTGTGCTCGATGGTTGCTGGAAATGACTTTAAAGTGCAAAACGGAATTTCTTCATCTGGAGGATCTCGCTAGATTGGAAAATACATAAGAAAATTAGTAAGATGTTTTAAACGTAGACAATGATAAAGATCTGACCTGTTAGAAATAATGTACACACTTAGGTCCTGTGAACATTCCAGTGAGGTTTGACACAGCTTATCAACACTAAACAAACCTCTAGTGTACACAAAAGTTGACTGGGACGCAAAAGAAAAAAAGATGCAGTAGACAAGTTTTTACCATGCTTTCACACTGCATTTCCACTGTAATGAGGAATAAAAATAATGCATGGAAAAAAGCTACAATAAATGCATTATAAAAAATCTAAAATGGGGCCCCATATCCTTCAAAGATGCAGTCAAGTTAGAAACAAGACACAGATGTCTCAGAAACTAAATGTGAGGATGTCTGTCTAATCTGACAGTTTATAGCTGGAACAAGGAATGCTTGTTGTTTGTATGCACCTTCAAGGATGCTCGCTGGCTGAGCCTGCTAAGAGGAAAGCTCATCATTGCCGTTACCCCTGAGAGAACTGGTGCCGTCAGTCTTCTCCTACACACACAAAGTTATATTTTACCCAAAAAGCCACGTTTTGCATGCACAGCCGGCCACTGTCCAAGGTTTATATGCAGCTCAATTCTAAATGTCCATTTCAGTAACTGATAAATCTAATTTCTTTCTTCAAAAGCATTCAAACTAACCCCCCCCCCCCCACACAACAAA